TTCATGAAAATTCTCCATAACTCGACGAGCTATTTCATGTGGAATGGCAGCAATTTATTGACGAATGGCATCTTTTAATTGTTCAATGGATCGAGGCTGATGAGTATATGCCTTTGATTTCAGGTATCCCCACAGAGAAAAAAAATGAATCTGGTGATCGGGTAGGCCAACGCTCTTTGTGTTGCAGTTACCGATTCGTTGTTGTTGATAAACGTTTCCACAATGAAAACACGATGCTCGACGATCCAATTCATATTGGTACCTGAAAATGAAATGAAACAAAATTGTGTTATATGTAAATTTTGGAAAATAAAAAAAACAACATATTTTTCGGTTTTTACTCCATTTCGCTTTTATTAAATTTTTAATTAAAATTGTGTTTCGAGTAGGTATGGGTTCATGTTTACCAAACCTGATGTGCACACCGGAGGCTTTTTGTGTTGCCGTTACTGATTCGTTGTTGTTGATAAACGATTCCACTATGAAAGCACGATACTCGCCCATCCAATTCATGTTGGAAACTGTGTAACTTACACTTTTTCAGTAAGTTCACGTTTACTTATCTCTCAGTTGCGTCTGTCTTTGGGCAGAGTGCACGCAGAGGCTTCTCTGTCAAAGTGCAGAGGAACAACTGAGGAAAATAATACTGAAGAGGTGCCCAGCCCTGGGGAACATCTTCCCAAGACCGCGCTCTCCCATTGCACCGGAGGTTGAGATCGGTGCTCACACCGAGGCCAGCGCAACCGACGGTTGCGGGGGCTGAGGGGGATTTTTGTTCCTGTCCCGGGCGTACAAGCTCGGGTCCCCACCTAAAAATAAACCTTGTGTTACATCTCGTCCATGTGGGGTGACAGAGTAAATACCATGTTGGGAACTGAAAATTAATAAAACAAAATGGCGATATATGTACATTTCGAAAATAAAAAAAACATATTTTTCGTCCTTTACAATATTTCGCATTTATTAAGGACTAAAACTGTGTCAGGTCATTTTGCCACACTGTATATATATATATATATATATATATATATATATATATACGATGTATTCATATTTCCTTTTACAGATATGCTCTTTTCTGAAATATTTACACGCACAAACTTATATATATATATATATATATATATATATATATATATATATATATATATATATATATATATGTAGGAAAGTATATATGCGATAAGAATACATTCAGAAAAAATTATATTACAACCAAGCCCACAAAGTCTATTGAATTAATAAATGTTGTCCCAAATCCGAAACAAATTTGTCGGAAATGTGACCTAAATTTATAATGGTTCTGGTTCTCATCATTATCAGGAACATTAATATTGTTGGAGGGTAAAGTTTTATTAGCTTTATCCTGGCAGTTTTAGAATGCTCTCACAGACATAAAATTATTACTATAAATAACCTGATGAACTGGGACAAAAGAACTCTAGCTTCAAACAAATTATTTTATGACGAATAACATAAAAAACACAATTATCAACAAATCATTTCGCTGCTGAACAAAAAAAATATTTCAGAAAAAAATATAGCACTGATAAGAACAAAAGTGAAAAAGAACCATTAAATGAATCTATTGTAATCAGATGCTCTTTCGCTCAGCAATTACAGGGTGTTTTACAATTGTTGAAACAAAACAGCCGCCTCACAGATGGGAAGAGTTCGCGGAACAAGAGAACCATGATGAGGAGGGAGAGTGGTTTTAGCAGGATGGTGCACACCAACACCCTACTAATGTTACCATAGCATGACTGTGAAAAGTTTTAGAAGCGTCTCATCACGCATAAAGCTGATGCGGAATGGGCACCTCACTCGCCTGAACTAATCCCCACCCTAGATTTCTTCCTCTGGGTTTTTTTCAAAGACAGCATCGAACACACCAACCCGTCGCATCAGTTCTGCATTGAAGGCAGTCGTCATTGAAAAGATTCAAGCTACTCCCAGAAAGAATGAGAATGCGTTATCAACAACTTTGCATTCAACAGTGACTTCAATTGAACGGCGGATATCTGGAGCGTGTACTCTAGGTTTTTGGTTTGAAACAAAATGAATGTAGATCCTACAATGTTATCCTTTTACCTTTCAATAAATGTAATTTCCGTTACTCTACCAATCATGGTCCTTGATTTATGCCCGATAATTTTGTTTCAAAAATTGTGTAACACCCTGTACTTTAGTAAACAGTTTTCCGTTTAATTTGTACTGACATTATCTTTCATTTTAGTTTGCGTTGTGTTTTATCATCTATCCGACCTGAATATGGTGATTTGCATGTAATGTCCATCCAAACCCGGAGCTATGTCAGATATGTGAACTTCTAATTTTATTTTACTGTACACACACATACACACCCGCACACACGCACACACATGCACATGATTACACGCATATGTACTATGAGAGAAAGATTGTTTAAAATCTGTAATGATTATGGGGGAAGTTATTAAATACAGACAATATGAACAAAAAGCAACATCATATGCTGCTGTATATATATATATATATATATATATATATATATATATATATATATATATATATATATTATATATATATATATATACGTCTGTGCGTTACTGGTTTGTACACACACTCACACACTCACACACACACACACACATATATATATATATATGTGTGTGTGTGTGTGTATATCACTGTGATGAGGTATTATGATTACTTGCGTTATTTAAATTGTTCGGACGGCTATCCTCATCTTCATTATTACATTCACAACGTGAATCCATCTTTTATTGACTGGGCCATGTGTGACATGTCCCAGTGGATAAAAAAAAAAAAAAAAAAAGAAAAAAAGTTGGTTAGATCTAATGACTAGACCTAAAGAGTTGTGAGTTCAATATCAGGCCAAAGCAGTGGTGAATCAAAACTTGGAGAGTTGAGTTATATGGAAATAACTGTGACATCGGGATGAAGAATGAAACGTGAAACTAGAACAATTCACCCTGGTGGACGAAATAACGGGATCGAATTGAAATTCTAATCACCTGAAGAGGGCCGAAGCGTATAACGGGCGAAACGTTCTAAATATGGCAATGAATATGAGAATAACATTCTGAATAATGTAAATAATGCGGGTTCGATATATATATATATATATATATATATATATATATATATATATATATATATATATATGGGGTCCTCTCCTCTCCTTTTTCATATAAGTGGACTCGACCAGAGTATTACTTGGACTGCTGCCATTAAATACCCAGAGCCAGTCAGAATAGAGAGAGAGAGTGAGCAGAGAGTGAGCAGAGATTGTGATTGAGTTGGAGGTAGAGTAATAGTGTGAGGTAACTGCTTATAGAAGTCACAGTTACAAGCACATAGACTCTAAGGAAGTCCTACTTCGAGACTGTATATATATATATATATATATATATATATATATATATATATATATATATATATATATATATATATTATTATTATTAATTGCTACTAACGGCGTTCCTGGATTTACTAACAGTATTACCCATTGTATAATTGTGTAAATACATTTAATTTCTTATATTTGATTCTTGCGTTTGTCATTCATTGGAGACCGAATTTCATCTCGGAATCCACAACATTTATATATATATATATATAACAAACTATGACATAATGAAATAAATATTGTATTTGGGGAAGGAACTTTTCTCATAAACATCTTTTATTAATTATGACAGACAAGAAATATTTGATTAATTTTTTATTTAGTTTTCCAGCATTCTGACATTTTTTCATTTGGGGAGCGTAAGTGACTCTAAATTATGCGTTTTTCGGACACTTTCGCGATTTTCGAGGGGGTTGTTTTCAGGTGTTCGGGAAAAACAACTAATTATTTCTTCTATCCTCCATTGTAAGCTTTCTTTTAAATCAGTTCACCCCAAGTAAGGCAACAATGACACTAGGACGCAAAGAGTTACAGCGAATGGAAGAGAATGAAACGATTTTCGAAGGAAACACGATCCTAAAAAGCGAACAAGGGATAGAAAAAAATTAATTTATATTACTGTCCAAAAATAAACGGGGAAGTGTTCATCGGACGATCATCATTATCCTCCTTCTATCTCCGTGCTGTTGGTAGGAACTCTATTAAAACTCCCCTTTCCACATTACTCGGTTTTGCATTGCCGTCCTTAGATCCCGAATATCCAACTCTGATTCCCGAGGCATGGTGTCTGGGATAGTCAACTGCCAGGATAGTTCTTTCAGTAGCTGATACAAAATGTGGGACGGCAACCCTACATTCGGGCGTTTTTGTCACGACACCATCTCTAGAAAAGTTGTCAAACATGTCCTATATTGAGGAAAAAATAAATAGTAAACAATATTTAAAGTTCAGACGGAAGCTGATTCGAAACAGGAGACAATGGATACACCCTGACTGCTGTTCAAAAGGACGGAGAGGCGTGCGAATTCGGCGATAGGCAAACATATCTACTTCTTTTAAACGGGTTTGAACGTCCTGCTGAGTTCACTGCAGCATCTGTGCGACCGTTAAATTACGTCTTGGCAGCATTTTCTTATTGGCTAAATACGAACTTGAGCAGCGGAGCCAGAAATATCTCACCCCGTAGATTAAATAATGTTTTCTGTTCGAAATTCCCTGAAGTTTCCAAACATGGACAAGTTGGAAATATTAAGGTGATACGAACAGACTTTTTCGAATCGCTACAGACCTGATCTGATCCAGCAATAGAGACTGTCGGAGAAACTCAATCAAAAATTGTCACCTGATATTCTGATACAGATGTAAAAGCATAAGAGTAGTTCCACCATGCTTACTAATCATTTTTATTGATTCATTTTTTACGGCTTGTCAACCCTTTGTAAGTTAATAATAGCCAGTAAATATTATTTTTAAATTGTAAGAATCACTTATTTGGAGATAATAATTGATACAAGTCTTACGAATTAACCTCGTTCACCCATCTAAGTACTGAATGGATGCTCAACATGCGGGAATGGATTCTCATCACGCGGTAATGGATTCTCAACATGCGGGAATGGATTCTCAACACGTGGGAATGTATTCTCAACAAGCGGGAAAGGATTCTCAGCATGCGGGAATGGATTATCAACAAGCGGGAATGGATTCTTATCACGCGGGAATGGATTCTCTACACGCGGGAATGGATTCCCATCACGCGGGAATGGATTATCAACATGCGGGAATGGATTCTTCTCAACCACTGGAGGAAACGATAGTTTCAGCATAAAATCCTTGAACAGTCCAATATATTAAGAGTTTATACACAGTTTTCAAAAAGACCTAAATAAATCATGCTATGTTCAATTTCAAATAGTCATGGCTCGTCAAATAAAGAAAAACAGCTCAAATGAAGGAAACGAGTCGGAATAGCAACATGGCAGTTCGGTAAAAGCAGTTGTCAATATTAGAAATTGGAAGCAGAGTGTCTAAGAAACAAGAGTCTCAACTTCGCTAAAATCATCAGGCTTACCCCATACTTCGGTATGATAATTTCAGTTGAAGAGGTTGTTTTGGAGATTCTGTTGACCCATTCATAGGATAAACGATAGGCTTTGTGACAAGTACAAGAGTTGAAGTCACTGAAATATAACATCACAGAAGAAGGAAGGTTGGCAATCAAGATATCAAACAACACCATTACTGCCAACATACTAAGAAATTGAGAAAGGTCGGATTGACAATGGGCTAGCAGAGATACTTCAGGAAATTGGCAAGGCTTCATATTTTTTCATACACAGGGTGATTGAAAAGTACCTCACTATTTTATGTGAGTGGTCAGCCAGTAGTTCTGACTTAGCACCCTATGACTTTTTTCTTTGAGGTTGGTTAAAAGAAGAAAGTTCGGATGACTTTGAAGAAGTTATGTCATCCATACCACAAGAGTTCTTGGTAAAATCAGTTGAGGCGATGCCTGGGCACGTCGAGAAGCTGGTAGCGAAATCTGGTGCCCATATGGAATTTTAAATAAAACCTCATCCATTTCTTGTAAAAATTATAGTCAATAAATATATAAGTATTTTAAAATGGGCAGGTGCTTTTCAATCACCCTGTTTATTTTACATATATTACTTGATGTTTTCATCTATTTTAAAATGTTATTATTTAACATGTGTTTTATATCTTATTCTCATTATTCTTCTTTTATTATATATATCATATATCTTTCATATATATATATATATGTGTGTGTGTGTGTGTGTGTGTGTGTGCGCGCGTGTGTGTGTGTGCTTGTGTTTTTCGTACGTGTGTGTGCTTGTATAGGAATGTTAATCAAACATGACGTATGCCATTTTCTTTTATTTCGGACCAAATGATTATTGCAGGTGTATTGGGTTTGTGGTCATAGGTGTAAAATGATTCCTTTCCTTCATCTTTCATTATTCTTAAAAGCATTCCATTGATGAATATATCTCCTTTTGTCGGGCTATGCTTGCTCCCTTGTTGCTGAACAAGAAAGCGTATTAAGCCACACCTTAAGTCTCATGGGCATTATAAAGAAAAGAGAAGAATATTTGGCAGAATAGAAGAAATGAAATATGCCGTAATAAGTATAAGAACGACTTCTGTTTAAAACTAAACGCAAAATGAGAAACAAGGTAAATAATATAAAGTGTTACCTTATTTGTCACTTCGGTTGCTTCTTTATTTACTTATTTCTGTACTTAGTTTGTTATTTTTCTATATTCTTATTTTGTTTTACTTTTTTAATCTTTCCTTTCCTTTGCGGTTTTTTTGTCTTTCTCTATTTACCATTTTTTACCTCACATTTCCATATTTTCAATTCCTCAGTCTGTCACATCTTTTATTTTCCCTTCTTTTTTTTTTTCAAAACACCAAATTTTTTTTCTTTAATTTAGTTTTCTTTGCTCTTTCTTTTTCATACGTTCCTTTATTTTTTGTTTAATTTCTTTCAATTTCATTCCTTCTGATTTTCTTATTTACTCATTAATTTACTTATTGACTCATTAATTTACTTATTTCCCTACTTTCTTTATCAATTTTTCTGCCTTCTTATTTTGTTTGACTTTTTCCATCTTTCCTTTCCCTTCCGTTTGTTTTTGTTTTTCTCCATTTATCGTTACTTAAATTTCATCCCTCGCATTTCCATATTTTCAATTCCTCATTCTGTTGATATTTTACTTACAGTTTTATTTTCCTTTCATCTTTTTTTTTCAAAACAAAATAATTTTCTTTTCTACTTTTCTTTAATTTAGTTTTCCTTGCTCTTTCTTTTTTTTTGTTCTTTTATTTTTTTTTCAATTTCATTCCTTCAAATTTTCTGCCCCAGTTTTAATATTTGTTTCCTTTCCATCAACGTAACGTTTTCAAATTACGAAGGTAATTCAAAAACTTAACGGCACTTTCACCAAAACATATACAGAGCTTTTCCGCACTGCCTTCCGCTCATGTTTGCTTATAGTTGGTAGTAATGTGGCATTTAATCTTAAGCGCGTCAGTTACATGGCGGCTCCGATGGCAGTGGATACCAAGGAGAAACAAAGGGCATTGATCTTATTTCTCTGGTCGGAAGGTGTGTCAGTGGCTGAAGTTTATCGGAGGCTTTTAACACAACATGGTGGCAGTGCACTATGGTGTAGAAATGTGTATGAGTAGATTAAGAAGTTGCCGGACAAGTATAGCGCCAGAAGAAGAAGCAGGACGCACGCCAACATCTACCACTATACGATAGCATGATAGACGAGTACTGAAGCAGGTATTTCTTAAAAAGCAAATTTACCCAGAACAAACATTCGCAAATCGAGAAGTGAGGTAAAGTTATGGAACTGACCCATTTACACGAATAATTATTTAATGACAGACATTAGAATTTGTTGTCATTTTATCTCTTACCGAGGCGGTGTAATGGTTAGCGAGCTTGTCTCACTAGAACAATTCCAAATGAGTGGTGAGTTCGATCCCCACTGAGTGCCCCATACTTTCAGTCTTGTGCCACATATAAGCTACGCTTGAAAAATCATTTCTGGGTACCTCGAGGCGGTGTAATGTTTAGCAAGTTTGTCTAGCTACAACAATTACAACTGAGTGGTGAATTCGATCCCCACTGAGTGCCCCATACTTTCAGTCTTGTGCCACATCTAAACTACACTTGGAAAAGCACTATCTAGCAGGGGTTAAATACCCGAAGAAATCATTGTTATGTACACTACTAAATGTTTCTACCGTTCCAATTACTCAACCAACACTTCCACATACACTACTGGCCAAAATCTTAAGGCAAATTAAAACAAAGAAAAGTGTAACTTTGGGTTATGAACCACTAATTTGAATAGAACTTCGATAAATAGGAAAGTTATAAAAATAAAACCCATTTTTAGCATTTAATAAGTCACATTTAAGTACTAGTTATTTAGGTTAAATAGTAGTTGGTCAAAAGTTTTAAACTATATTCAATGAAAGATTTAATTGGTAAACACGTAACGAAATTTAGTCCCATGTGTTCAAACCTTAGAGCAGTCAACTTCTCCCACTGGTATCTCCTGCGTTACACTAGGAAAAACATGACAAAAGCTAAAAAGTTGAACGTGGCAGAAAATGTCGAGCTCGAAATGCAAGGTCTCTCGCAAAGTGACATCGCTGATGATATTGGACGTAGTAAAACTGCTGCTGTAAATTTCTTGAAAGACCCTGAAGATTACGGAAGGAGAAATTGAAGTAAAGAAAAATCTCTTCGGTTTTGAGCAGGAGGATTCGGCGGATTATTTAGCAAAACATCAGCCGATCATCGAATAAGATTAAGGCCTTTATGGATGCAGAATGCAGCTCAAGATCAGTAACCAACCATCTCCAAGAGAAAGGCATTAAATACCGTAAATGTCTTCAAAGGCCACGCCTCCTTCCACACCACAAAACTGATCGGTAAAAATTTGCAGGAAAGAGCCAAACAAGAGAAATAGAAAAGTGAAAGACGAAATTGTCTCTGCTGTGAAAAAATAACATGGATGATCCGGATCGCTTCTAAAGTTGCGAGCAAGCTAAGGATATTCCGCTGGAGACATTTTCTACACGACAGTGGATGGGGCTCCATCATGATCTGGGGTGCTATCTCCTTCCACGGAACAATATAGTTTCAGGTTATGCTTTAAAAGAGCAGCTGGTTATATTGGTATGTTGGAGAGAGTATACATATTGACTGAATCCCCTCCCTTGTGTGGAAATGAATGGATCTTTCAAAAGGATAGCACTACTAAGTGTAATGTCCGCCTGTCCTGGGTATGACGCTACAATATATCTAACAGTCCATTCTGGGTATGACGATAAACTACATCCGCGTCCCGGGTAAGACAATAAACTACATCCAACAGCAAGGCCTCTGATCAGGAAGTTTTCAGGAGCGTGGAACCACTTCTTAATTGATGGTGTTCCCAAGTCCACCCTGACTCGGGGCGGTAGCACCTGTTAGGGTCCCAGTAATGGGCAAATAGTTAACCCCCAAGCTGGGGTCAAAACACTATGAAAGTGGAAAAAAAGGTTTTAATACCAGAAATACTTTGTAAAAAAATTCTTAACAGCAATACATTTTTGAACGAAAAAGAAAATATTACCAGCTGTACATTTTTTTGGGAAAATATTACCAGCTATATATTTTTGGAAAATATTACCAACTGCACATTTTTTTGGAAAATATTACCAGCTGCACATTTTTTTGGAAAATATTACCAGCTATACATTTTTTTTTTAAATATATTACCAGCTATACATTTTTGGAAAATATAGCCAGCTATACATGTTTTGGAAAAATATTTCTTGCCATCAATTTTTTGGAAAAATATTACCAGATATACATTTTTTGAAGAAAGAAATATTACTAGAAATAGATTTTTGGAAAAGATATTATCAGCGATAAAAATTGTCGGCAATAAATAACCCATTGAGGTTGATATGCCGTAAAACAAACCAAACCAAACCAAACTATAATGTCCGCAGTATAAAGGACTTTTTCGGGGTGAATAAGGTGATTCTTTTAGACTGTTTAGCATGTTCACCCAACCTGAAACCCAGTGAAATGGTTTGGGGTGGATGTCAAGGGAAGTCTACAGAAATGGGCGACCATTCCAAACAGTGCATGATATTCGTGAAGCCATCTTTACCACTTGGAATAACATTTCAGCTAACATTGTGTAGACGCTTATATTCACGCTGACGATTGTGCAGCTCACTAATGAGACATCTTGTTGGGTATTTCCTATTCTGTTTAGAACTTATT